CACGCAGCCACCCCCAGCGACCCCCTTCCTCTTCTCTGGCTGGCCACCCCCGTCCTCAACTCCAGTGCTGGGACGGGCGCGACCCCGGCAGCGCCCCCAGCGCGGCCGTAGATCCAGTGCGGGCTCGCAACCTCGGCGGCAGCCCCAGCGTGGGGCACGCGGCCCTGCTCCGGCACCGACAGGGGCGAATCTTCATGTTACTGGGTCAGATGACCCCGATGACTTTCAAGAAATTCCACTATCACATTGCTATTTTCATAAGGAAAGTGTCGCATATAAGCATAGTTATTATATCCTAACCCCGATGGTTAAAATCTCTGGCTTCGCCCCGCACCAGGAGCCCCCAATGCCCACAGATTCGGCGGCCATGGCGCTCCCCGCGCTAGGCTCTCTTTCTCTCCCCCCCCCCCCCCCCCCATGTTGCAATTGTATGTTTCAATTGTTTCAGACGTTTTAGATGTATGTTGCAGTTGAACTATATGGATGTTGCAAAATTAGATTGGGGGATGTTGCGCATGTTGCATATGTTGCAATAGTTTTTAGAGGCATGTTGCAATAGTATGTTTCGAGTGTTTCAGATGTTTCAAATGTATGTTTCATCTGTGTTTATCCGGACGCATATTGCAATTGTGTTTATCTGGATGTTGCATATGTTTCACACATATGTTGCATGTGTTTTATTCGGATGTTTGCATATGGTTGCAATAGTTTTCAAGTGTGTTTCAGGTGTATTTTTCAAGTGTTTCAGAAGTATGTTTCAAGTGTTTCAACTGCCTTCAGACATATGTTGCAACCTTTGTTTCTGGATGTTTCAAAAGTTGATCAGGTATTGCATCTCTCCTCCTCCCACCTTATGTTGCATCTCACAATTGGGAGCAGGGAAGCAGGCGTGTGGTGGCGTGGGGCGCGGCGGGCGTGCTCTCCTATTTGCGCGGGCGCAGCGGATGCGATTTCGATTTTTACATGAGGGGGTGCGTGCGGTTGCGTAAAGGAGCCGCGTCTGGACGCAGGCCTAGGGCCGGACGTCCGGGCAATAGTTAACGATATACTCATGGCTCAAATAGTCACAGGCCGGCTAACTATTGTGAAGCAGGCAGCCATTTATTGTTTTGTTCTGAACTATACTGTAATAGTGAAGAGGTATTTTGAGATTTGCAAGTCTGAACTATACTGTAATTTTCCATGTGCAACAGCGGTAAGAAAAAATCAAACACTAACCAGTGTGTATATAGCATCCGGAGTCTGAACTGCATTGTGTCAAATGACACACGCAACGCACGAGTCTGAACTGCATTTAGGTTCTTTTCATGGAATAGACTGGCTGAAAAGAATAAATATAGTGGAGTAAAAAATACACATATGGAAAGGCAGAGCTATGGTTCAGTTCAGACTGAAGTTGGAGAATATATTCTTCGAATTTTAAGACCATCAATAAATACATGGAGGCAAAGACTAACGATGGAAATCGGCATCCTGCGTTGAAATTGAACTCGAGTTGAGTCTGAGGCCTGCCTGAATCCAGTTGTCCCGCTCATCCGCCCCTATCCTCCGCCGCCCCAGACCAATGCTTGAGAAAAATCGAATAGCAGCCCCCGTCCTGGACTGGACCCCACCTCGCCGGCGGCAAGGAGGAAGCCAACAGGCCACCGACCAACCAACAGTGTGCGCGGACAGCAGCTGGAAGGTAGATGATTAGCCTGTGATGGTGCCATTCGTGTTTGAAAAAGTAATGGCAGCTGCAGCCTGTCTCTGTCATCTTTAACTGTAATTCTTGCAGACTTGTGATCTCTGAACGGTAGCGTAAACCTGTACTACTACTGTGTCATTGCATGCGAGCAAAAAATACAAGTCTAGATATCTGACAACGCTTAGAATCGCGCATGTCGTCTGTAGTTCTTCCTGAACATGTTGCAACTCGTCAAGTCTCTGAATCACTGCATCATCGTACAACTGAAGAATCGATCACTGTTTATTTCCCCCATCCCAACCGGCAGAGGAACATGGAGGTAATCATCTGTCTGTGTGCTCATGGCTGAGCTTTGCCAGCAGATGTCATTGTTTGACAGTGCAGATGGTGGAGCTCGCTCAACGATGGAGTATTTAAATTCTGTTACTTATAAACACTTCACATATGGCAAAGCAGTAGTACATCCTGACAATTTTTTTATAACTTGATACCTATAACCTCCTATCACAAGAATGCAGCAATTTGTCACAACCCATCAAATAAAAGCATATTCGTATATCTTTCTACATAAGCATAACATCACGAAAATTAACAAAGTGTGACTCGGTTTTTCATAGAACGCTTTCTCTTGGTAGCTGTTCCTTTTAGATCTCGAATCTCACAGGTATTGACATAGCTATAGTAGGGTGGTATCGGAGACCTCCATGCTAGGACCTCAAATCTCCCACGAGGCTTTACACTTCCGTACATCACATCTTGGATTCTTACATTTGGAACCTCCTCTTGTGGAGAGCGTTGAGACAGATGATAAAGCACAAGATCTTCAGAAGGTGCCGCCATTCTCCCAAGATGAGCAATCCTGTTTTCACTTATAAGATCAAATGGATGCTCACTGGATATGGAGACATGCTTGTGCGTGACCCTTCTCAAGAACGCCAACACCTTGCACCAAAAGTGAATGTCAAAGTTGTCTCTTAACAAATAGGCGGTCATATTTCCACTAATAAGGCATCCGCTGAGGATCTTGGCTATGTGCACAAAATTCTTGTGCATCTCAGGATTCCTGCTTCCAAATGTAAGAGTCTTGAAGAAATACCAGAATGTTTCATGGGACATATTCTTTAGACTTAGAGCTTCTGTTGTTCCAAACTTTCTTATTTTCTCAGATCGGCTTGTGACTATGATTTTGCTATTGCTTGGCATCCACCGGTTAGAAGCAAAATATAGCTTATTCCATGTGTTGTCATCGAGATCACCAACTAACTCGACAACAAGAAGCAGTCTCCCATCATTGTTCATGTTTGACACACAATTTTGGTGTTCCATTGCACATCCTTCTTTTAATGTAGCCAGGTCCTCATCTGTAAAATCATGGCCTTTCAAGAACAAGATTTTTGAGAAATGGCCACGGACTCTTTCATCCTTACAAACATGAGCGACAAGGGTGCTCTTCCCCAATCTACCTGGACCAACAATTGGCAGGACCTCCAATTCTTCAGAACCATGTGGCCATGACTGCAGTAGGAAATTGATGACATGTTCAGTTTCCAACTGGCGGCCAAACATGCAGTTGCCCAGCTGGATATGCATGCTATATGGCTGTCTGCAAACGAGGGTAGCTCATCAAGAACATGACCATCTCTTCCGCATCATTAATCATGGAACTCAAACTGTGTAACACCTTTTATAGTTGTTCCAAAATTTCAGTGTTTCTATTGGAGGGATGCAAACCTTTCACAGAATTGACTTTGGAGAGAAACCAAGTTTGACTCACAATCTTATCTTTGGTTGCCTCCTCATTGTGAGGTTGGTGCCTGAAAGTATCGAGCGTGTAATAGCCTCGGTACGTGCTATCCCTCAGCATGTTGAGCTGGTGCAGCATAGCTTGGTTTGTGATGTGCCGCCCCATGGCCTCATCGACAATGACTTGCGCCCTAAGCAGAACTCTGCAGAGGCGATCCTCCAATTCTGGCGCTGACGGCTTGGAGCATTTCCTGATGAGGAAATCTCTATGGATCGAGTGGTCAGCTCCCCCAGAACCACAGAAAGGAGAATCTCCATTGGTATCTCTCCCTCCTCAGGAAGAGAAAGTAGCAGGTGGAGAAAATGACCAGAAGACTTGTGGAATGGCATGAGATGGCTCTGAATGAAAGAAGAGCAAGAACGTTTTAAGAACAGCAATACTTGTTCAGGTCATGCAGGGTGAGTCCAGTCCGATAGTCATAGTCCAAGAACACATTTTGTTGATTCTTCTGGTTGACTTTCTTCGTTCCTTTATGATGTCAAAGTATAGCAGAAGCTGACAATAGATGTGGACCATATATACAGCTCTGTGGGAGATTTAGTCAGAGAAAAATGAAGATAATGCACCACCTACAAAGGAGAAGGACTTTACACTACATAACTCTTCAAAGGCCATTTACAGCCTATTGCATCGTCTTGTATTAATCATAACTAGCCACTGCTGCCCGCGCTTCGCTGCGGGTGATGTGCTTGGTATAGGAAAACGTCAATTCGTCATGTGTGGGTCCCACCTCCACTCCTGCGCGCGCGAACCACCTTCCTCGAGAGACAGGTGATGGGGGTAATGGCTGTCTGGTCTCTGGTGTGGGCGGCGGGTCTACTCTCTCCGTTCTGGATGGGGAAGCGCAGAGGGGCCAGCGGCGACTCGGCCCGAGGCGGTTGAGCTAACCAATGGCCATTCGAGCTGAGAAGATGCCCGTTTCCATCTGCGCAAAGGCGTCCGGACCCACGAGGCCTCGGTTCATTCGGGCGATTCGTGGGAAAGGGCATCATGACGCTTGGCAGCGAGTTTGAAATGGCAGTATGGATCAAGCAGTTCAGGTATACGCTTACTGCTCATTATCACAAGCTTTGAAATGCCGAGACATCAAACAATATGCAGCACCAGCACCGCAACTTCCATTTTAAGCAACCTAAGAAATGCACAACTAACTAACTACTCAGCATCAGGAGTTCACGATCACAAGTGAAACTGACTCATTTGTGCCGTAAATACCTTCCTCGGATCTTCACTATAGAGGCGGTGCTGTTAAGACAGAAGCAATGTATGCCCAACAGGAGCAGATAACACAACAGACCTGTCAAAACCAGCTTTAAAACGAAATGTCATGTTTCCATGTGTTAACACTCTTAAGGTTGCATGCTTACAAAGACACTTCATCTACTTTGACATCTACAACAAAATAACTCCCATCGTCTTATTCTTCTACTTGTATATATATTACAACCCTCGTAATTCGCATTCTGAAATCATTAGAGGACCACGTCCAGAGCTTCTCCAGTTATGCCATCAGAAGTTCTCCTTGTGGAACTCAAACTTTGTATTTGTCTTGTGGGTGAAATCTGCTGAAAACTGCCGAAGCTGTGGCACAAGGACAGGCTCACCGCAGTAGAAAACTCCTGAACAGTAATCAGATGTTAGTAGATGATGAAGTCAATTGACGTTTCTAGTGCTTCGAAACGATAGGAAGATGACATAGAATGCTTCGACATGATATGAAGATGACAAAGTGACATACCGACGCGTTGGTTCCCATGGTTCACCGCAACATGTTTGAAGACGCTTCGGCAATTGGGTCGCGCAAAGTGCGTCTTCACGCTAGTTCCAGACAAGATGTCGACTCCCTTCTTCGCATGTTGAAGCTCTTGGAGCATGACAATGAGGGCAGACCGTGCATCCCCTTCCTCGTACACACTCGAGCAGTGGTTGTGGTGTTCAATGACTCCATCCTTGTCCTTCTCAGCCACCTCATTCATGACCCCTCGGAACCATTCAAAAGACCCCTCTTCTCTGGTCACCCAGTAGAAGTAGGCCCTCTTTGTCATGAATGGCCTCTTCTTGGCCTTGCCACTGCCCTCAGGCTCGATGCCTGCAACAGATCCTCCATGCTGAATGTGGTTAAGTACATCCTTCACAATGCTAATCAATGGAGTGGCTCCAATGCCTAGTCCAATGAGCAGGAGCACATCATATTCCCGATAGTCTTGCGCCGGAGCACCGTATGGTCCATCAATTAAGAGTCTTGGGAACCTAGAGCATGTCAAAATTCAGGGTCAGATGAATCTAAGAAATGTATATTTTATTGTACTACATTTCAAAACAAATCAAACAAATTCTACCTGGCGTTGCTCTCAGTGATCCCCTTGGAAAGGTCAGCTCTGAGGAGTCCACTTTCTCCATCAGTTGGAGGACGGCATGCCTGGTACATATCTACATAATTGTCAGGTCCAACAACAAAAGCAATGGCATCAGATATCGAAGTTCACAAATAACAAATTTCACAAGTTGTGTTCACCATCCTCAAGAGTTATTGAGTCTTGTTCTAGAAGGGGCTTATTGGACCAATAAAAACTCAAAACCTACGAGCCAAATTACCTCAGAGAAGACAGTCCTCGTTAGCTAATCTACTTCCACCTTGTGTGAAAACACAGCAGAGGAAGGCGGCGCCGACTTTACCCCTGCTGTAATACAGTAGCCGCTGCAGGTGCAGGCGCCGCACGGCTCACCTGCAACACTGTAGGCACATGAAGTGGCCGGCGCAGAGTCAGCACTGTATGCTTATCTAATTACTGTTACAGCATGTGCGTTGTACTTTAGTAAGATATATAGAGTTGTATAAATAGGTCACCAAGGCAACTCAGTAAAGAGAGCTCAGATTTGCCATCACACAGACAGGGCTTCGGCCAACGTTGTTGTATTGTATTGTGCGTGATTGCTCTGTTCTCCCTTCTTCTTCTAGCTCGATCCATAGTGTGTGGGTACGGACAACGCCGGTACGTGGTCTGCACGGCTAGTGGGTGCTCGGCAACACTAGCGCGTGCTCGGTGAGACCCTCAAGTGCTCCACTCGCCTGAGCCGGTGCTCGGCAAGATAGGCTGGAGTGGTTCACTGTCGTGAGCCGGTGATCCTGTGAGACCAACAGAGTGGTCTGGAGACCATCAGGGTGGTCTGGAGGCTATTGGATAGTGGTCTGGACGCTGACTCAGTGGTCTGGAGGCTATCTGTAGTGGTCTGAAGATCATCTCGGTGGTCGGGAGGCTAACTGTGGGCCAACAAGTGGTATCGGAGCCGTACAAGCGCCGTCGTCATTCTAACCGATGGCGAGGACAGGCGGTTTGGAGTTGGGCGATGGCAGTGGCACTGTCATAGCTGCCCAGCCACTACCGGAGGTAGTTGTCCGCACGGTGCGGGAGGTCAGCGGCACCACTTGGCCGACGCTGACTCGCACTAACTATGGAGAGTGGTCGGTGACCATGAAGGTCAAGCTCAGAGCCCGACGGCTCTGGAATGCTGTTGACAAGGGCACCGACGTGGAAGAAGACGACATGTCAGCGTTGGAGGCTATCCTCGCTGCTGTACCGGCGGAGTACAGGGAACCGTTGGGGATGAAGAGCTCTGCTAAGGAGGCGTGGGAGGCCATTGCGGCGATGCGCGTCGGTTCCGACCGCGCAAAGAAGGCGACGGCCCAGCTTCTAAAGCAGGAGTACGCAAACCTCAAGTTCAAAGATGGTGAAACGGTGGAGGACTTTTCCCTCCGCCTGTAGACGCTCATCAGCAAGCTGAAGAGCCACGGCGTCACCATCGACGAAGAGGTGGCGGTCTCCAAATTCCTCCACTCCGTGCCGGCAAAGTACATCCAGATCGCTCTCTCCATAGAGACGATGCTGGACTTGTCCACCCTCACCATCGAGGATGTGGCAGGACATCTATGGGCGGTGGACGAGCGCCTGGAGCAGGCGACAGCAACGAAGGACAGCGGGAAACTCCTGCTGACGGAAGAGGAGTGGGCTGCTCGGCGAAACTTCGGGAAGGCAGCCTCCTCCAGCCGCGGTGGCAACGGCAAACATCGCGGCAGGGCTTCTTCGAAGAAGAAGCAAATCGACCTCAACGTCTGTCGGTGTTGCGGAAAGATGGGCCATTGGGCACGGGAGTGCCCAAATCGCAAGAAGGAAAAGAAGGCTCATGCTCACCTGGCGAAAGCCGATGATGAGGATGAGGCCACTATCCTTATGGCGACGTTCTGTGCACTGCACGACGTCGAGGCCATGGAGAGGGAAGAGGTGACGACGTGGAAGGATCTAGCAAGGCCCTGAAGACCGTCAACCTCGACGAACCACGCGCCCAAGTCCATCTTGGGCATGTGGGCGTCGACCAGGAGTAGCGGTGGTATCTGGACTCTGGTGCCAGTAACCACATGACGGGCTCCAAGGACTCCTTCTCCGAGCTCGACGGCGATGTTACCGGTACGGTGAAGTTTAGTGACGGCTCAAGGGTGGCTATCCAAGGGCGCGGCACCATCATCTTCAGATGCCAGAACGGGGAGCACCGCGCGCTAACGGATGTATACTACATCCCGCAGCTGCATTCCAGCATCATCAGCATTGGTCAGCTGGATGAGCGCGGTAGCGAGGTTCGATCAGGACGGCGTTCGAGGATCGAGAGACCGAGAGCGGCGACTTCGCCAAGGTGAAGAGGTCCTCGAACCGGTTGTGTACCGCCGACTGAAGGTAGAGCGGCCGATTTACTGGCGGCAAGGCACTCCGAGGAACCGTGGATGTGGCATGCCGGTTCGGGACATCTCGGCTACGACGGCGCTTGGTCGGTGGGGAAGATGGTCGGAGGCTACCCACATCAAACACGGGGCGAGCTGTGTGACATTTACTGGCGAGAAGCGAAGAAGGCTACCTTTCCCAAAGGCGGCCAAGTATCGCGCGAAGGAAGCTCTCGAGCTAGTTCACGGCGACCTCTGCGGGCCGATCACGCCTGCTACATGCGGTGGTCGGTGGTACTTCCTCCTACTCATGGACGATTACAGCCGCTACATGTGGCTGCAACTCCTGACGAGCAAGGACGAAGCGGCGGTGGCGATCAAGAAGTTCAAAGCGCGCGGAGGCCGAGGCGGCAAGAAGCTCCGTGTCGAGGACTGATCGGGTGGCGAATTCACTTCGGTGGAGTTTGCTACGTCTTTGCGCGGATCAAGGTGTGGGGCAACATCACACCGCGCGCGTACTCGCCACAACGAGAATGGCGTGGTGGGCGGCGAGAACGAGACAGTGGTCGGCATGGCCCGATCCATGATGAAGGCCAAAGGGATGCCGGCAAAGTTCTGGGGAGAGGCGGTGACCACGGCGATGTTCATCCTCAACCGCGCTCTAACCAAAGCCCTAATGGGCAAGACGCCATTCGAAGCTTGGTACCGGAGCAAGCGGAACGTGTCATTCCTCCGGACATTCGGTTGCATCGGCCACATCAGGAAGACAAAGCCGAACCTCACCAAGCTAGAGGACAGGAGCACACCCATGGTGTTCCTGGGCTACGCGGAGGGTACCAAGGCGTACCGGCTCTATGACCCATGCGGAGACAAGGTGACTGTCTCGCGCGACGTTGTGTTCAACGAGGAGGCAGCTTGGGACTGGCACAGTCCGAGCACGGGGGAAGCGGGAGGCTTCACCAACACCTTCGTCGTCGAGCACTTGATCATCCACGGCGGTGGAGACGCTGCGGAATAGGTGCCACGCACTCCGGGAGGAGCGCCGAGTACTCCGGCGGTAGAGTCGAGCACTTCTGGGGTAGTGCCGAGCACTTCAGGAGGGATGCCGAGCACTCCGGGAGGAGTGTCAAGCACTTCTGGAGAAATGCCGAGCACGCCAGGAGTGGAGCCAGGAGGTTCTGCAGTGGTGGCGACCACTTCAGGAGGGATGCCGAGCACTCCGAGAAGAGTGTCGAGCACTTCTGGAGGGATGCCGAGCACGCCAGGAGTGGAGCCAGGAGGTTCTGCAGTGGTGGCGACCACTTCAGGACGGGTGTCGAGCACTCCCGTGGCGGAGCCAAGACGTCTTACTATGGTTCCGACCACTCCAAGACTGAGGCTGGGCACTCCTACAGTGTGGCCGAACACTGCAGGAGTTATGACGAGCAGTCCAGAAGCAGTGTCGAGCACTTCAGGTGCTATGCAGGGCACTCCGGCGGAAGAAGGAACTCCATCAACCCCGATCGAGTTCACCTCACCTCCAAGTGACATCACTGAGTTCATGGACGCCTACCACGAAGGTGAGGAGTTGAGGTTCCGCAGGCTGGACGACATCGTCGGTGGCACAGGTCCCTCAAGTATGGCGGGTAGGCTGCTCAACGACGCAGAGCTACTACTCGTCAGTGCAGAGGAACCACCCACGTTCGCGCTAGCCGAGCGCGATGGAAACTGGCGACGGGCAAAGCTGAAGGAGATGATCGGCATGGAGGGGGTGCAAGGGTTAGCAGTAGGATTAGGGGAAGATTGTTAGCTAATCTACTGCCACCTTGTGTGAAAACACAGCAGAGGAAGGCGACGCCGACTTTACCCCCTGCTGTAATGTCTGTAGTACTCAGGCAGTGCAGCGCCGCATGGCTCACCCACCTACAGATCTTGTAGGCACATGCGAAGGCCCGCGCAGAGTCAAGATCAGTATGCTTATCTAATTCATCATTACAGCATGTGCGCTGTACTTTAGTTAGATAGATAGAGTTGTATAAATAGGGCACCAAGGCAACTCAGTAAAGAGAGCTCAGATTTGCCATCACACAGACAGGGCTTCGGCCAACGTTGTTGTATTGTATTGTGCGTGCTTGCTCTGTTCTCCCTTCTTCTTCTAGCTCGATCCATAGTGTGTGGGTACGGACAACGCCGGTACGTGGTCTGCACGGCTAGTGGGTGCTCGGCAACACTAGCGCGTGCTCGGCGAGACCCTCAAGTGCTCCACTCGCCTGAGCCGGTGCTCGACAAGATAGGCTGGAGTGGTTCACTGTCGTGAGCCGGTGATCCTGTGAGACCAACAGAGTGGTCTGGAGACCATCGGGGTGGTCTGGAGGCTATTGGATAGTGGTCTGGACGCTGACTCAGTGGTCTGGAGGCTATCTGTAGTGGTCTGGAGATCATCTCGGTGGTCGGGAGGCTAACTGTGGGCCAACAGTCCTAAGACGTGAAGTCCAATCACCCCTTCTGCGAATGTGGACACTAAGATAATCATCTCCTGGTGCTGATGTAATGGAAAATGGGTGCCTGCAAGAGAAGAAAATTATGAAGTTCTGTCATCTGCTGATCACATCACTTTCCTTGAGGAAGGGTGTAACTGCCTACCATTCATATGGAGAGACAGCACGCCAGTTTATGAAGATACACTGCCCACTCCGACACCTGAATCCAGGTGGCTTGGACATATAGAGAGCCAAAACATTCCCTGGATATACTGCAACCTATTGAGAGGGCACAAAGTTAGAAGTCAAAAAGGAAAACCAAAATTTTCAAAATGACTTCTCATAAATAAAATGAAAGTACTACAGAGTAAGTAGGTATCTTTGTAGAATGAAAGAAAATAGACACCGAAATTCGAATTGAACAGAAAATTTGGGTGGAAGGGTGTGTAGCACACCTACTACTAACTGAGCTTTGCTTTGTTCTCATCGTATGCAAGTTGAAAAATACATGGCAAAACCAAAGGAACCGAATTGCAAGTACCTTCTGAATCCTAACAGCATCATGGCTCCTAAATAGCCGAAGAATTCGCTCACTTACATACAAGAGCACAGGGACAGGAAGGTACATCCAGGTCTGCAATGGTAGAAATGCTCTGTAAGTAATGACTTTCAGAAATTAGATGGTCTCTAGCCAATGAGGAGGGTACAGATGTTTACTGTTTTCTTGTACCATTTCCTGCTTAGATATAAGCAGATCCCGTGGACAACGAGCAGTGCATACACAATACCAAATAAGTGGTGCGTAAACCAAAAGGCATTGAAGCCAGTCATTTTCTTGAGGGGATTAGAATCCTTGAGTTTATTACGCCGAAACCATGGCTGGGCCAATACGAAAGCTATAGTCATAAGTACAACCATGACCACCCCTGTCCACCCTTCAGTTCCCTTTACAAACCACCAGTAATTTGGTGGCCTTTTGTCTCCAAAGAAAGGCTTCATTGGTTCATTGGCAGCATCACTTGCATGGAGCAGCCGGGGAAAATCACATGTCAGGTGAGCACCTGCATGCAAAGCAACACCAACTGCAACACCTGCTGCTATTACCTGCACAATAATTCCATACATATTACATAATGTAATTTCCACATTAGTAAGTGTAATTATCAGATGGGAAGGTTAACAATTCACTCTCATTGGTCCTCTAGGATAAAAAAAGAGAACTATGTTTCAATTGGAATGGATACTCCCACAGAATTTAAAGGCGCATCCTGTGTTCAATACTAACTGAGTACATATAGTCTTACCTTAAACCCTATTGTTCATTAGCAGCACATTAGCATGTGTTATACATTTTTGAGCAGTGTGTATATGAACTCATTTATGCAAAGCTTAGTCCCGCATTCACCAATAGAGGAAGAGACTATAGGTAAGTTCACAGCCTGAGGCTCGCCATTCAGCATAGAAGGAGAACATTCACACAAATAACTGGCAATACCAGGTAGAGTTGGTGCCTACCAAAAAAGATCAGTTCAGTTAAACAAAGAACACTAATTTTATGGGTTGACATAAGAAAGCAAAGCAAACAATTTATGGAGATCTGAGGCAGGGTGCAGGCCATTGCATAGAGACCGCTGTGAATGCTTAAGTAAAAACAGGGCTTATATTCATACAGACGGCGGTAGATTAACAGTAAGCATATTACTAGAGGAAGTCTTGATGTCGCTGTAAATTGTAGAAGGACCCAGCGAGAAACCTAATACATGAAGCATTAGTTAAAAGTTGAAGTATGCACTGCACAATCATGACAGTAAATTAAATGTGTGTAAATTAGGAGTTGTCAGTGAAATCTAAGGCTGCATAAACTTCTTATAGCCCATATTACAGTAAGCATTATGTAAAAGCTTAAAAAGTGCAGTCCAAAAGCCTAGATGAGATTATTCTTGAAGGAAATCTAAGCCTGCATAAACAGTTGTACATCATGCTGTCCCTAGATCATAGCACTGTAGTTATTCTGCATTAGAAAAGGAATCCCATGATAAATAATGCTACATAAAGCAGATAACATATTTTGCAGGACACGTACGATTTGGCTTGCTGCAATCTTCTCTGCAAAAGTCAGACTGGATCCACATATGTTGCGAATGACAAATTTTTACTACAATCCCAGGAAAGGGATGTTCTGAAAGGAAGCAAGGATAGAGCAAACATGATACATGACGTATTAGTGCAGAACTCCACTTCTTTTGTCCTGCTCTTCAGCATGCCTGGGTGTAACCTGAAGAGATCCAAACAGCTCAGAGAGACCTTCAAGATTCACACCATGTATCAGGCAACAATATACATCAGTAGCAACGTGTTTCAAACTACATTTCCATTATCCAAACCAACTGTGAATGTGTTTATCTGATTAAAAAAATGCTCTGGATGTTCTGTTTTCAAGCTATTGGTACATTAATTTCTTATAGCCCCTATTACAAAATAGGACCATATGTTGGGAAAAATTCCTAGCACATGTTGCAAAGAGCATTTGTATCACCAAAAAACATGAAATTGCACACACCAAATCGAAAGCTATAGAAATCACAGGATGTGCAGTGTAGAGGATGAGAGGAAGATGAAGGGGAGGGGACCTGATGTAGGGACGGTGCCCTCCTGCTGAGTTCGGCGTCGACGGGGGCAGCGTGCGGGCGGATCTCGGGGGGGCAGCCACATCCGCGGCCACCGGCGGGGCTCCCACACCGCCCCGTGTGTTGAGGCCGCTGCGGTTTTGGACCTCCCGGTGCGTCATGATGCAAATTAAAGAAAATAGAAGCAGGCAAACAAGAAGAAAGGAGATGATGAGACTTATCAGGATGGATGGATCTGGCTATGGAGGCACCGGATCGGGCATGGAGGCACCAGATCCGGCTGTGGAGTCGCCGGAGCAGCCACTAGTGAGCAGCCCATGGTGCAGCCGTACAGGTAAAGAAGAGAGGGGGACTCGCCTGAGCTCACGTCCACCCATGGGGCCCACCCCGCCGCCGCACCACCGTGCGGGCAGAGCACTCACCCAGCACCGCCGCGCCGCCTCCGCGTGGGAGCCCACCATTGCTGAGGCCATGATGCCGGGACGCTGCGCCGCCGCGCTGCGCGCTAGCCCCGCGCTGCCTCCGCGTGGGGCCCGCCCTAGGTGAGGCCGCTGTCGTATGCCCGCACCGATGCGGCCGCAAATCTGACGAGAGGGAGAGGGAGAGGAAGAGAGAGAGGCGCTGCTAGGCCGCCCACGCCATTGGCCAGCCGGTGCGCTATCGCCTCGTCCTATCCGCCTGGATGCGCCGCCACGTGGAGAGAGAGAGAGAGGCAAAGAGAGAGGAGGTCGAGAGTAGAGAGAGAGGGAGGAAGGAGGCGGAGGGGGAAACTCACCCGCGGCTCACAGATGCACGCACGTAGGAGCAGCAAGCGTACAAGCAGCAGTACACCTACACACAAACAGATAGCTTATGCATGCATGCAAAGCAAGCAAGGCCCCAGCAGCATGCACGCACGCGTACTCGCATGCGTGCCGACCACCATGCTAGTTAGGCACCGACCATGCATGCCGAGAATCCACTGTTCCCTGCTACGCGCCACTGTCCATTTGCGTGCCGTGTACAATCACCAGGAAGTCCTACTTCATTGAATGTGTTCAGTTGCTTCATCTATCTACTGCCGAATGCACGGAGGAAGACCGGTTGTGACGCACTTCATCTGAGCCGTGGAATTTCCATCTAACGCACCAACTAAACAGAACGTACGTGGACACCCTGGGAGGCCGCTGATTCGGCGTGCCTTCATATCTTTAATATGTCCACAGTGGAGATAGTCATCTCTGCAATTCAACATGGCTGAACATGCTACTGGATTTCTCTGCTCTTGATTGATAGGAGGCAGAGCAGAGGTGCATCATCACAGACCAAGCAATGCTTCGTCAAATCAAATAAATGAATATCTTGAGAAAACTGATGTACACAGGCTACTACCTGCTCGATTGATGCCTTCACACAGAAAGATCCTGAATAAGAGATTGGTGTGGTGTGAGGCTGTGAGCCATTCATGTCTAGATCAGTTTAGTTCAATGAGTTTGTTGCTCTGCTGCTAGGAAATATGGCACGAAAAGCTAGAATTAAGGGCGGGAAAGTCTAGATAGAATCAGTGCTGGTATGAGTAAGTTTCTAATTTTCCTGAGGAATTACCCTCCTATGTTTTCCAGGCCATACATCGCAATCTGTTTACTTCCTCCGTCCTAAAAAAATGCAATTCTAGCTTTGAACCTGGACATATGCAAAAAAAAAATGCATTTTTTATCACTAATTGGAAATTGAATAGGTCATCATACAGCTGACTTCTTAGTTCTTACTAACTGAAGTGGAGCAGCCATTTGTTCTGAACTATGCAGCTGACAGGAGAACAAGTAACTTTACTGCAGTAATTAAGTAGAAAGGTACTTTTAGATTTTGATAGTAACATAAAAAAACAATCTTTTCAACTGCTATATATATCCCACCTCCATTTCCACGTTCAGATCCATGTGCATTTCGGAATAACTGCACATTCTGAAGGAATGGACACCGGCTGTGCAAGCTAGTGAGCGATTTTTCCACTGCCTTGACAGGTAATAGCCGATTTGTCTTTGCCTGATAGCATCTTGGTGCTTCTCGTCTTCTCTGCTTAGCCAACGCCACCCAATGCAGACTTTCCGATTGCCATAGCTCAAGGTCTGTTGATGCTGAGGGTGCACAGAAAAGGGGCTCGCAGTTGCGGCCAGCCGGCAAGTTTAGAATGACTGAATTGAAATTGAAAGGGGCAAACCCGGGACGCTGGGACAGAGCGGAATTAACCACAAAAATAAGCAGCTTTCACTTTAGAATTAACTGAATTTCAATTGAAAGGGGAAACAAGGCATGGAATTAACAAAAAAAAGGAAAAAACATCAAAAATTATCAGAACCATTTCACTTTAGAATTGACTGAATTGCAATTGAAAGGGGAAACAAGGCATGGAATTATCAAAAAAATAAAGGAAACGCTTCCGCTGCGCCATTCTGATTTTTGTGTTCGTTGACTATAAATTATAAACATTGCCAGCTTACTTGTACACCACGTTCTGATCCACGTCCATTTTGGAAGACGCAACGGAATCAGGTAATTCCACCTACATTTGCATGCAGGCAGTGGCGGAGCCAGGATTTTTATGGAGCCTGGACGAGACGCATCGTAATACACATGATCCATGTGGCAGGTTCCAATTCCTAAGATGGCTCTGGCTGCTTAGGTGGAGTAGCTTTTTTTATGGAGCTAGAGCCGTTTTGGAAAACATTGAAAAAAAATAGTTTCGGTGATAGTTTTGTATTAATTTGTATTAGGTTTGTGAGGAGGAATTGAGATAAGCCATATTTTTGCAGTTCCGGGTCCTCTGCAAAAAAAAAAAATAGCTCTAGCTCCTTCAGGCTTTTTTTAAGTAGCCGTTTTTTAGATGCCTGTTTAGCGGAGCTCATTGCACGGAGAAGTGAGAAGCCGAAGCCAGGGCCCCGTCAATCGGAACCTAACGCATAATGAAGGACCGAAAAGGCGACCAGAGGGGGGGGGTGAATGAAAGCCGTAAAATTTCTCACGAGACTTTTTCGGTCGCTGTCCCAAAACACCACCAAGCACAAACAAGTTCCGGAGCTCAAATATCCAAGCCAACTAGTGACAAGAGTACCTACTAAAATTCCTCGGAACAGTAGAAAGCCAACGCAGCAGACGGAACACGAAACGGAGCTCAAACAACTAAGCTACAGAAGAAGAAGAAGCAAGCTCTAAAAATAGACCAACATTTGGGTTGCTAACAAAAACAACCATGAGCTCACTGTAGGAAATATGATCAATCACTTGTAATTGACGTGAAATAAATAAATGACCATACAGTGATTACTTCTTGTAGCTGAGGCTGACAACACAATAATAGATGTAGAAACAAAAGTCACGATCAAAGCAGGCACTTGCTGCTAGACAGAACCTGCAAATTTCAGTTGATCTGCACAGAAAAGAAATGCAAGTAGCTGCTGCTCTGCGGGGTATTTGCACCTGGAATCCATGGCAAGCAACTGCTCGATGACACACCTGCAAGACCGAGCAGTAGAGGCAAGTAGCCCTGACGAGAAACTGATTCCCAGAACGAACACAGAAAGAGAGACCGAACACCCAGTCGCTCACAGCAACCGACCGCACCAGTGTCCTCGCAGCATGCTCGACCGGTGATTCAATGAAACCAGAGATGTGCTGGAAGCAGCTACAGGGACAAGCAGGGTCTGCGCTGCTCCCCTCACCAGATTGAAGTGTCGACCTGAAGGCAGAGTACGAAGAACAAAAGCGAGCAGGCCGAAGCGTTACGAACAGAAACAAAGGCGACCCAAGAATCAAGGAAAAACAGCTCCAAACTCCATGATTTGTTCCCAAATTTTGTACACAAAATCTTAAGAGGATCAGTGAGCTATTCGAGAAATCATCGCTCAATTTCAAGCTGTAACTCTGAAAATCAAAGAGATTTGAGCAAGAACGAGTTTTTCCCCAAAAAGGAAAATCGGCTTGATCTTGATGCACGAGTGGAATTGATTCAAATCACTTGGTAGAATTGTTCATCACTCGTCAAAGCATCAACTGGACCAAACAAATCACAGAAAAACATAAATCAAGAAGGGGAAGCTGGTGAAACAGTAACTTCGCGAAAAAGAAAAACACGAACACAAACACACATCAGGTTTCCACATCCGGAGGAGGACAAAAGAGGTTAGGGCCTCCATTCCCAGTACCAAATCACACCAAAAAAAATATCACGAATTTTTAGTTCATGGGACCTCTCTCAAGAGTGCTTAGAAGAAGAAACCCTAGGTGGAGGGAGAGAATGAGAGAATGGGAGAGAGGTAAGGGAGATGGGGGCTCCCTCATCCTATTTAAGCAGGCTATTACACATTCCCAGCTTTTGCCCTGGATACAAATGAGTTGAACCGCTAAGCCCAAGGGCGTTGTTGTCCAACCGGTGTAATCTTGATCCGCTGACCACCGCGCCTACTCACCGGTAGCCGCCTCACGCGAACTCCCGATGCCGCCACGTGCCGTCCGTCCCTCTCTCGGAACCTCCGCCGGGTTTTGAGGCCCAAACCAGTAAACCGTCCATGGTAGCGTACTCCATCTGCGTTTTCCGCCATCCGAAGCGCGTGTCACTGCTTGTCCCCGACCGGCCGGCCCGCCAAGTCCTCCTGAGCCTCGCTCGACTCACGCGTCCGCCGTCTTGACCCGGTCAACACCGTCACTCCATGTCTTCTTGCACTTGTTGATGTTCCAAGTGTCAGCCACCGCGGCTAGTCGCCCGACCTCACGGTCCCTCGGTCCAAGCCTCACGTCCGTCCTTCACCGCTCTCGGTCCGTCGGCACGGCACGTCCTCCTTGACCTTCACCTCGTCGTCAACTACCGCCTCCGTGCTCCACACCTACACACCACGAGCCAAGAGACAAGCACACATAGCTTTCGCCATGGTAGAGTTAGTAACCGACTCAACCTATTCGTGGATCACGTTGATCAATCACTCATCACACAAAAACACGAACACACAAGGGTACTTGTCAACCTTGTGTTCGCAATCTCCCCCTTGATGAGTGCATTGTCAACACCACCACACGAATAGCTTGAGCAAGAGAAAAAAAAATAGAGGAAGAAAAGAACTCACCAAATGACCAAAAGTCAAAGAGAAGACAAAGCCAGGTCATTTGAGATGAGCAAAACTTGATCCCCAAAGACATGGGCAACGGCTCGACGCAACCAAGTAAAACGTAGCTAGCCCTCAAGAAGAGGCAGAAAAGGGGCTCAACACCACTAGCAATGCTCAAAGCACCTGAAAACAGCTAGACCCTCCAGAAGAGGCAAAGGCTCAACACATCTAGCAAAAGCAACTCGAAGTGCAACTCCCCTTGAACAGGTGTAATCTCACAAATGAAAGCATCTCTCAACTTTGGGTGGATTTTAAAATTTTCTCCCCCTTTGCTCAATATTTCTCCCCCTTGTTGACATATGCACTTATCAAGCTAGAACCCAAAGATTGCATCT